CTAATACTCGGTAATAACTACCTAAATCTTTAACCCGTCGACTATAACCGCTACGTTAAAGATTATAAAAGATTCTATAATCTCTAGAATATTATATATTCGGAGCTATCTCCCTAATAATAGTATACCTATATATAGGCGACGGACGTACTTAGGGCTTAGTTCCTACTTTACGGCTATGGAGGAGCTAGGAAGAGCTATTTATGGCTTCGTCTACTACTAGCTACACTTCTAATTAACGAAATGAACGGTGCTCCTATTATCGCTTATACTACTAAGATAGTTATCCCATCTAGCGATGTGATAGCGCACCTCCCTATACTAGGTTCCACCTAAATATATAGGATATACATATATGTTATTATCGGCCTAACCAACGAAACCTACGACGACGCTATAAGAAAAGCATATAAATATATAAGTAATATATTTACTTACTATAAGTCTCTAAAGACACCGGTCGTTCTTCGAAGATGCCCCGAAGCCGTTAATCGAGAGGTTTTCTTTACTATAGCTAGACTATCTTATCGCGGCAACCCTCTTATCGGGCTAACCTAGGATAATATAATAGGCGGTACCATCCTCGCGTAAGCCTAGGCCGACCATAGTAAACGACTATCGGAATATAGCACGGATCCCCGTGCTCGTCTATGGGAACTATATACCGGTTACGTTACGCTCGAGGTCGTTAGACTTATTAAATCTTAATACTAATACGAATGGATCCCTAAGAATTTCAAGAAAGAAACGGCTCGGCTATTACGCGCTATCTATAAACGTTATACTCGTAATAAGGACATGCCTAAGGAGGAGTATAATAGGATGAACGAGCTATACCTCGCTACCTAGGACCTAGTTACCATCTACGCCTAGATTTATATAGGGACCCCATATGTTATGAACATCGCCAAGGTAGCCCGTAATATATATCCGATTTTGGTCGTAATAGAAGAGGCCATGCGTATCCTTAAAAGTAATACACTCGGGATTATTATTAATTATACTACTATAGAATAGTAACCGACATTTATTTACGTCGGCGACCCACGCTAGCTTAACACCTACTAGCGTGATAGTACTAATATATAGACCGCGAACTAGAGGATCTCCTTTATAAAGCGCTAGATATAATATAGTTTCCCGACTACTCGCCTTACCGAGTTAGAACGCTTAGTTCCTAGGATAATAAACGTTATATCGCTAATTACTTACTCGGGCGAGCTAACGACCTCGCCCTACATGACGAATAATATTAATATACCACTCGCAGAGACCGTTCGATAAATATTTAGAATCCGCGGCTATTAACACGTCGTATATACCAACGTCGACGGGGATCACGCGCACACGGTAAATAACTTAATATATAATATAGACTTATTATGTTTCACTTAGTAGATTATTACCGAGCTCTTCTATTATAGCGTCGCACTCGATCGCGTACTCTATATTTCTATATACGCCGCCTAACGTAATCTATTTAAAGGGATAGTTAGGAACTCGCTTCTAACTATACTTACCGCAGCAGATAAAGCTCGATTTAATGCCCTACCTAAGCCGGTATAGAAGCTTGTCCAATGGCGTTCATGGGACGGTTCTTAGAGTTATAATAACAATATAGTCCTTATCAACCCGGTCTAAACCAATCACTTCGGCTTCCTCTCGGAAGTAAACCGTAACATCATTACTATTACGCGCGCTAAATAGATAATAGTTATTATTACTAACTTCGTATCTCTTAAGAGGTAGAAAGTCCTAGACGGCGTACTCGGCGAGATATAGAATAAGTGCTCTAAGATTCATGCGATATACACGTGCACGACCCCCGACCTAGATGGCCTCCCTCTACTCTCTAATATATCTAATCCCTAATATAGTCGCTCTATACTTGGTATTAGAGAGAGGGGAGAATGAAGCGATTAATAAACTACCGATAGTACTAAGCCCCGTAAGCCGCTGGTCTACCGTAAATATAACGTCGAAGGATATAAGTCTATTAAGTATCTAAGAGAGTCGACGCTTATATATAATAACTATTAGGACATCGGCCATAAAGCTAATGTTTACCCTAAACCCAAGACGCTTACGGGTACGTTTTACTATAATTATAGGACTACCGGTTATACTCGGCGTTATTGTTCTAGCCGTACTAAATTACTAGCACGCATAAATGGTAATAATCTAGTTAATACTACTAGAGCTAATACTACTAGAGCTAATACCACTAGAACTAATACTACTAAAACTAATGCTACTAGAGCTAATACTACTAATAAAGTAACTACTAGCGGCTAGGACGATAGAGACTACGAGGATGCCGGCCGAGACGGCGGTGTTATAATATATAAAGATATGGAAGTTAATTAGTAATAGCATATGATTAGACTCACGTGTTAGGGCTACTTAGTCACGGCTTCTTAGTAAGTATACCTCTATATCTATTTTAGTTATAGTTACGATATTCTACTAGGTAGATAGTTTAGCTCTATTAAAGACCTATTAAGGGTATTTCTATTACGTCTACTCTAGTATAGACGCGCTATTAGATAATACGGCGCCACCAGGCACGTTAACCAGTACCCACCGATTAAGAAATAAACACGATTCTATATCTACCGTGAGCCCCGGCCTAATAACGTAGGCTTCCTTTAGTTATCCCCTTTATACTTTTAAAACTACTTCTAGCCTTTATATTAGGAGATATTACTATCTAAAGAGAAAATATAAAAAAATATACGCCCTAATCAAAGCCTCTACCTTTAGACTTTAACTATAATATATACGGGATATAGTAAACCCAAATATCGCGTACTTTAAAAGCATGGAAGGATATAATACTTGAATATAACGAAATATAGGCTCACGATACTCGGAGAGTACCTAGGGATAAGTATATGAATATAAAATGGGATAAGACCAACGCGGCACCTCGTATATATATAGCCATATACCGTTCTAGACGTAGTCGCCTACGATATAATATTACGAGATAAGAATCATGGCTATCCAATTCTATTAAGGGTATTAGACGATATAAAGTAAATAACTACACGCCCGACCACGCCACGCTAAGTTACGTACGTGTTGTAAACGCGTGTTCGAGGAATAATAAGGATATAAACGAGGTTCACCTGGCAGGTGCCTCGTTATTCCGGCTTCTACCTCTATCGTCCGATCTATACCTCCGTCTTCCTTGCGCCTATAATATACCATGCGTATACTATATAATTAGTCCGTAAATTATAAACACTATATTAACTACGCACGTTAACTACACACGATTAATATATTGAATCCGATTCCATAATAAAGTAACCGTCCGAATATAGTAATTACTATAGTACTACTTCGCATCTTAAGCCTAGATATATAAGTAAAGCGTGAAGCTATAGAGGCGTGTATAAGATAGCTATATATAGAAGCATATACGGCTACTCTACTCGTAGACTATAGGCGTTAAACTAAGAACGAGCTCGGCGTAAAAAGAGCACGTAAGATTATTAATAAGGTGGCGGGCGAATTCCTAGTAGTATAGGAAAGAGTAGTAGAGTGTATAGAGATAAAGGCGCTATACTATATCTACGACCAGGTACGCACTATAGTATAGAAAACCGTATATTATAGAAAAACTATCTCCGAGTATAAGAAGAGGCGTGTAATTATAGCCCTACATCCCACGACCTTATAATCCCCGCCTATTACGACCTTATAACCTCCGCCTATCGCGACCTTATAACCCTCGCCTATCACGACCTTATAGCTCTCGTATACTACGACCTTATAGCCTATACTCACAGCGGTCCCATAGCCCACTAACGTATATACTACGAGAAAAATCAAATTCATGATTAGGTTTAACGATAACGCATTCCTTAAAATACTAGTACCTACATCTAACTAGTAGAAAGACCATAGCGACGCTTTATATATTAATTCGGTAGTATTTATACGGCGAATTAGGGTCTAATATACAACGAAGACTAGGAGGGCACTTAACTAGAGCTATACTACTATATATTCTATCGTGCTAGTAGTCGAGTATATAATAAGTAAAACGGAACTAGAGGTAGATATTAGATGGCTCCTATAGTTAGTAATCGAATATATCCTAGAATATAGTAATAGTATAATACTCCTCGGCCTTAGATAGGATATAGATAGTATACCCGAAGTAAAACGAAATATAAACTAGCGACTAACATATAATAGTATAGACGGCTGTATATAGGTTACGCTCGAATAAATCCGCCCCTCCGTCCCTAATGCCACACTCGCTACGATTAGTATAATAATAGTAATAGAAAGCTACCGCCTACGACGGTAGAGATACCCATAGAGATAGTATTATAGGTAGTAGATAGTATCACCTAAACGACTTAACCCTTCCTCTAGTAATACTATATATACTACTATCGGTACCTAGGAAGTCGCGAGACCGATCTATAAGCTCTAAAGACAGTGACTTCGAAAGCCTTAAAAGTACCTTAGATATAGAGGATATAGATATCGCTTTTAAAGACTAATAGAATAATAAAAAGGGTACTAGAGGTAGTAAGAGTAGTGTGCGTACTTGGCTAAGGCGATGCGATCCGACGTAAGACGGCTTCTACCTACTATATATCGATATATACCCGATTCTACTAGCTATATAACTATGGCGCATATGTTTGGTCAAGACGTTATAACACTAGTATAAGCCGGCGTCTACCTGGTTCACGTTAGGATACGCCCGGTCCTACTAGCTATATTATTACTACGACTATAATCGTATAAGATCCACTCTAATAATTAAACATTTACTTATATACTTTACTTCCTCCGTACTTATCGAAATTACGTTATAATTACTAAACGCGGCGACTTAACTCCCACCGCCTAAATCTAGTTTTCATATCTTATTACTATTAACGCCGTCTTACTACCTATGGCCTAAGTCGTATATAGGAATAGATAGGCATAACGAGAGTCACGACTATCCTAGTTTAACTACCGGCTATAGAATGGCTAACCGTGACACGCATATACAACGTGCGGAGGCCTTAAGCGTTAGCGCCCTCCTACCTTATATCTAGTACCTCCGAGGCCCATACCTAATACCTAAAATAAGTTATAATATATATAGGGCTACTATTATTAAGATAGTAAGTAAAGAAGTAGTGATAGAGCTTAAAACTAGTAGTATAGATACTACTATACTCTATAGGATAGTTAAGGAAACCGTTACTAGAGAATTCAATTGGCACATCGCGGCTATAAATAGTAAGTTAGTACCGACGGTTACGACCATAGATATAATAGAGGCTAAACTAGACATAGATACTATAGGTATAGGTACGTAGACATAGTTACCGCTGGAACATAAGGAGAAAGATAATATGGAAGATACTAAAATGGAAGACGACGTAGCTAGTATACTTAGACACATATATATACACACGGTCCTAGATACTAACATTAGAGTAGTATCGAATATAGGCGCGGTTATAACTACTAACATAGATAATCTATCTATGAATATCGTCGTGCCTAGCGAAGCTTATCCACGCGTAAACATACTAGCTATAGAGATATAGTTATAGTTGCCGCCGGAACATGCGGAGAAAGAGAACGTGGAAGATACTAAAATGGAAGACGACGCAGCTAGTATGCTTAGATACATATATATATACATGGTCCTAGATGCTAACATTAGAGTAGTATCGAAGATAGGTACGGCTATAACTACCGACATAGATAATCTACCTACGAATGTCGTCGTGCCTAGCGAAGCTTATCCACGCGTAAATATACTAGCTATAGAGATATAGTTATAGTTGCCGCCGGAACATGCGGAGAAAGAGAACGTGGAAGATACTAAAATGGAAGACGACGCAGCTAGTATACTTAGATATATATATATATACATGGTCCTAGATGCTAACATTAGAGTAGTATCGAAGATAGATGCGGCTATAACCACCGATATAGATAACTACCTATGAATATCGTCGTGCCTAGCGAAGCTTATCCACGCGTAAACATACTAGCTATAGAGATATAGTTATAGTTACCGTCGGAATATACGGAGAAAGAGAACGTGGAAGATACTAAAATAGAAGACGACGTAGCTAGTATACTTAGACATATATATATATACATGGTTCTAGATACTAATATTAGAGTAGTATTAAAGACAGGTGCGGCTATAATTACTAATATAGACAATTCCCCCACGAATGCCGTCGTGCCTCTAGATACCGGCGAGACTTATCTACGGCTACTAGAAATAAAGAGGACACTCTCGGATAATATAGTAAACCTAGTCGATTCTCCGAAACGCCTAAAACTAGAATATATTATACTACTAGATATCGACCGGTAGACATATGAAAACCAGGAACTATTCGGGTTAGTAGATAATTTGTATAGTAGATATATATCGGATAGTATATTAGCGAACGGCCTTGACTTTAAAATCCTTTCTATAGACGACGACTCTAATAGAGATAAAGTAAAGCTAGATATAGAGGACTTAATTCCGGTAGATAACGATATTAGTACGAAACTATAGGAAGCGTAAGTCATACTAAGAAGTAAGTAGGAATATATACTACCATACTAATGTATCTATAGAATATTCGCCGTTAATAACTCTAATAAAGTAGTCTAAGCTATCTCTTATTATACGGAAGAGATACGGTTACTTACTATAAGTATGTTTAGGCTTACGCTAGACGACCTAATAAAGGAGTTCGGCTATATACCCACTCTATATCTAGCCTTTAGTATAAGTGGGTCATATAGGCCATGGGCCGGCTAGTTACTCGCGGTAGTTACTATGTTTAAGTAGCGGGCGGGTCCGTGGAAGTGCTAGATCTTAGTAGATGGTCTAGGGCTAGGGAAGATAATCGTGCTTATAATGTTCATCCACCTCGCGTTTTATTAGGACTTTCTACGCGATAATATAGAACTTAATCTAGGAAATTATCTATAACCGACTTAAGACTCGGGCATGGATAGGAAGTGTCCGATATAATCTCTACATCCGATTAAATGTCCGTGTAGCTAGACCGATAATTTCGTCCATGTGCCCCGCCTTTAAGGACCATTTATACTATACTACCTAAGGTCCCTTCTAATAGCGCATTGGCCGCAGCGCTTTAAATAGATGTATAACGATACGGATAGCATGTTTACCGATTAAATTGATAAACGGAACCTAATAAAGATAATAGTACGGCTGGTATACTCGAAAACCCTTACCGACGCCCCTAGTATCTAATAATTCTCGCATATAGACCGATAATACTTAGCTAAGAGATACCTATACCCCGAATGGGAACATAGCGTCGATATTAGTAATACTACTAAATTTAAGACCGACGAGGAGTATATTATTAGAGCATGGTTGATTCCCGTTAATAGGACCGCTACTACCGAATTTCCGTCGCGATACACGAAGAACCATATAATCTATAGTACCATCTAGAGTATAGAACCCTAATATCTTAAATCTTTTAAGGGACGCGTGGTTATAAGAGTAAAGAGGGCGAAATAATTTAGTACTAAAAATACTTAAACTCGCGAAGTAGCATTCCTCGGTATATTAATAGTAGACGAGTTCTATTCCGCAAAGAACCCCGATATAAAATAGTATAAATATACGATATATAATGCCCTTATATTTAGTATATAGGTTAGTGTAACGCCCCTCTCGAATAGTCTAGTAGATATTCTAGCGGCTATTGAGGCAGGTGCTCTAGATAAGTTACCCGACTACGTCGACGATAATACTACTAAAAGGGTATTCGAGAGCCTATAGAATAAAACTATAAGGAAGATTATTATAACGTGGTTAAATAAACTCCTTAGTTTAATAAAAGGCAAGCTAGCGGATACGATGGCCGCGATAGTCCGTAGGGCATTAGAAACCATAGAAGGTAAGCGCATACTACGTATGGTAGCCGATTGGTATTTACTATTTATTCTATAACGGGGACTACTAACTAAATGGTTTAACGGAGAGGCATGTCTATCTATAATATTAAAGCTAGTAGTAGAGTTTATATCCGTCCCGGCTATAGAACTAGAGAAGATAATTATACGGTTATACGAGAATAGAGGTAGATAGTTTAATAATCTATAGCCTAACGGAACGCCGTAGGACTCGTAGATATAATCTATCGCCTAGAGTAAATCGAAAGGGGGTACCGGGTCCAGGCTTAACGCATACTACCATTAGGCTAGGCTAGCTACTACATATATACTACTTATATACCTTACTAATAAAAAGATAGAAGACGAGTAAATTAATATTACGCTCACGCGTCGGAGGGATAGTAATAATAGTATACCGAGTAAGATAATCACCAATCCCGTACGCGAAGCGCTCCTATAGCTAGATAAGGCCATACAAAAGGAGATAGTATCACTAGCTAATAAACACGCTTCGAAGGTAAACTAGATCCGTAACTTTATTAATAATAACGTTTATAATGAAAGTACTAGACGCGCGCGACGAACATCCGCCGACCGCCTAGAGAAAATCGTACTTATATATACCGTACCGGCAAGCTTAATGTTTCTATACTTAGTAAGTGTTTATACTACCTACTAGTAACGTAATTCACTAATATATATAGGTACTACGTCCATATGCATAAGCGAAAATGTTAGTATATTTACCAGCCGGCCTAAGTACGTCCGAATTAAATAAGGTATATAGATTATTTAGGTCGACCAAGTCGGATTCTCCGTGTATTCTACTAGTATTAGCTTTATAGGTCTGCGAAGGATAAGACCTAATAGTCGCCGGTTTTATAGTATTAGTGGACTAATGCTTACGTAAGGAGACGTGGCCGTAGGCAAGTATAAGATATTATCACCATGGATAATATCGGCCTATAGTATATACGTATGCTTTGATTTTAGACTATTTAGAGGTCGAGGCTAGACTCGCCGCGTTAGGTAAGGTAATCGAAAGCACGAGGATATAAGCCTTAGACCTAGGAAAAGAAGATATAGCTATAGTAGAGATAGCCACACCTAACATGCTAGTAATAGGCGTACGCTTTAATCCTATAGAGATATAGTAGTATAGAAGTAAGTAAGGTAGTCGGTTAATTAGCTTCTAAGAGACTAGATAGTATGGTAGTATAAATACGAACCGCTGTTTACTCATGATTACATGTCTATATATATCTATACGTAAAGAGAAATAAGATATTTATTCTATACCGTTATATAGTAGGACGTTACTATATATGCCGGTATATAACGGAATATTCCGACATGCGCCGGTATATTATAGAATATTTCTAGATACTCGAAGTATAGTCGTAGTATAAAGTAGCATTACTATTATATACCGGCATATGGTAGGACGTTACTATATATACCGGTATATAACGGGATCATGTTCTAACATACTATACGCCGCCGGTATATCATAGAATATTCCTAGATACTCGAAGTATAGTCGTAATATAAAGTAGTATTACTATACTATACCGGTATTTAGTAGGACGTTACTATATATACCGGCATATAACGGGATTAAACGTTTTCTTAACGTTCGATAGAACGATTCTAAAAGAACCGGGATGGCTCTAGGAGAACTAGAATAACTCCGGGAGGACTAGGACGACTCTAGGAGGATTAGGATAACTCTAGAAGTACCGGGACGACTCTAGGAGGATTGGGACAACTCTAGAAGTACCGGGACCCATTTGGGATAACTTTAGAAGTACCGGGAGACCTAGAAGCATTGGGAGCGCCGTATCTTTCCTAATAAAGTATCTTTTTCTCCTATACCTCCTTCTTCTTTTCTTCCTTATTAGTTCCTAACGGGGCCCGTTCTATAGTAACGAAATAGGCCTTCGATAGGTAGGCTTCGATTACACGACCGGTTTTAATATATGGTAGGTGGAATTCGCGTAAACGCCATTATGTCTTCTTTTAAGTATTACTTACTTTAATAATAAGTTTTATTATTTTATAGTGATAATAGGGTTCATTATTCTCTTTCGATAATAGAGTTCATCGTTCTTTTTCGATAATGGAGTTCATCGTCATAAGGCTACTTTTATAAGTATCCCTTCCCTCCTTAAAAAAACTTCTATCCCCTAGAAGAAGATATCGATTCTAGAGAAACGTAAATATTCTTCTCTATTAAAGTCTTGCGGAGTAGGAATCACTACTTCTACCCGGGTTCGTGTAGCGTCGTCGAGGTGTTCCGTAAGTTATTTATAATAGTTTTCCTTATCGCTACTCTCCTTATGTTCCTCGGTAATTCTTCTAATTAGTAGTCGCAAGGGCTCGTCGTAACTCTCGTTACTTACATTTCTTATAAAATATTTCTTTAACCTATGGCTAGGAAACGTCCCTCTAAGCATGGCTCTATTAAGCTCCGCGAGCTTATAAGTATAATTAAACACGGACTAGATTCTATATGGCCCCCTCTAATACTACCTTAGCTTCCGCTCTATATCCTTCTATCGCTACGAGTTATATAGAAGGATAATCGTATCAACTAGTAACGACTCTTAATGAAGGTAATAGTCGTTATTCTATGCCTCTCTTAATTCCTTACGCGTTCGTATCGTGTGGGTATAGGCCTCCTTAAGATTCTCGGATCTTCTCTTAAGTTATCTAGCTTAAAGAGCGAGTAAGTCGGATGTTAATTACACCTTATCCTAAGGGAGCATTTAGAGTGACTCGAATTCGACTTTAATAGATATAATTAGTTTATGGCCGAGCACGAGGTATACGGTACTATACCCTATACTAGCACGTGTTATTATTCTATCTACCTAGATAACCGCATGGAGGTGGCCGGGCTAGTTCTTGAATCCGCCATTAGTTATCTTCGCGAGAGTATTAGCGAGTAGTATAAAACTTCTCTCGATAATCCCATTTACTTAGGGATTATATATAGACGTAACCTTCTAATAAATTCTATAGAGTCGGAGGAGCTCCTCTATGGCACCTATATTTTCTCTACTACCGTTATAGATGATTTTAGGAATAATTCTATATCTATAGATTACGTTCTTAAAGAGGAACTTTACGACGACTATAGACGTAGCCGCTATACATACCTCCGCCTTAGTCTATCCGCTTAGCTATTCTTATATAGATACCACTTTACTATACCCTATAGAAGGTGGTAGCGTCGTTACGTCTAAGTATATTCTTTACTAAAGAATAGGCGTTATAACGTAGTAGAGCCCTTTATTAAGACCTCTAAGGAGTTTACTTCGTCGTTAATATTTATTATAGGTTTTTACGTACTATCGCACGTCTCTATGTATATCTACCTACTAATACTTATCCTTAATCCTTCTAAGGGTCCCTTCGCTACCTCTATAATCTATCTCGTTATAAGTGGCGGTAATTATACACGCCCTAGTATTCGGATCCTTAATTACTCGTGTATGTTAGCGATATCTATCTCCTCTCTACTAGAGTATTCGGTCACGTATAAGGAACTTTAGGTAGTCGGTTATAAAGGCCTTATACGCTCGGTCGGTTAGATTAGTTAGCCTCTTAAGTATAGTAAGGTACTTTATAATCCTCTACTATTTATCGCTATATTCATCTATTAAGGGAGACTTAATAGCGGTATAGTTAAGTATCCCTATCGTGTA